CTGGGAGTCCATGTCTGTGTGGTCCTCGATCACGTCGATGGGGTCTGAAATGACGGCTTGGGGTATCTTGTACAGGTTTCCGTGCTCATCATATGCTCCCTCCTCGAGTTTCCCCGTGGGGAGTGTCACCGAGAGGGCATCGAGGATCCCCTGGGCGTCGGCCAGATCTCCTTCGTGCAGACATTCAATCACCTGCTTCAAGCCGTGCCAGATTTCGGGGATCCCTGTGACTCTGGTCTCGAAGAACTCATACCTCTCTCGGTGCAACTGGGTGTATGTCCATGTCCTGTCTTTGCTCTTCCACGGCTTAGGCGGCTGCAGAGGCAAGTTATAATGATCTGCTAGAGACAAGCGTCGGTGCTGCCGCGATCTGGCGTTGTGGTTGACGGAGTCTCGGGGCGTGGACAGTGCCGATCTCGAGGTCTCACTCTGATGGATCGACAGACCTGAAGGAGCCCCGAAGTTGCGCGAGTCGGGGTCGTGGGATGCACCATTGATTGCCGTCTGCGATGTTATGACCTGAGAGGAGTGTTGAGTCTGAGGAGGGGGATGTGCGTGTCCATGGTCTGGATCACGCGAGTCTGTCGGTCTCGATGCACAGCAACCCTAGAAAGCGAGCATCAGTCATTGAGCGATTCACAAAAGTTAGTTGTTCGGGTGTGGAGAGACGGCTTTACCATAGTGCAGGTCAATTCATATCTGACCCCGACCCGGTCGTCATCAAAGGATCTGAACTGTCGGGCTGGCGATGGTAAATGTCATCGACACCCCGGATTTTCCCACGTGAAGCGTAGTGCGAATGCGACAGAGATAAGAGTCAGGGACAAGCCAAATCTGCAACACGCAAATGAGAAGTGGCGAAGCCGCGAATGAGCGCACGGCCAGCAGCGATTGAGATTCTACTAGAGCGCAGATACCGTGGACGCAGATGAAGAGAGGGGTGGAATAATAGTCATTTGTCCTGAAACCGTGGTGGCTAGATGCGTGACCTGAACGGTTTGCTGTCGACAAAGAAACCGCACTTGGGTGCATTTGCAGCAAATAGACGCTGGCCACACAAGGCATCGAATGAGTCCTTTGAGGGGATAAGCGGCGCAGACGGGTGGGTGCGATGGCCTTGCAGTTGGGTAATGGTTAAAGGCACTCGAGCCTTGGAGTGAGAGGGGCAGCGCGGAGAAAGCACGGAACCAGGCCCAGAACCACCTAGAGCCACCCCAAGAGAACTCAAAGCACCTATATCGATCAGGCTAGTGAAGGCCCACAAGCAACTAGTAAACCTACTTGTAGGCATGTGCTGTGTACTACCTCCAGGTATGTCTCTAGGTGCATCAACCCCCCAGTTATCCCCTTGGAGGCCCCTAAAAATAATCCCTGTTGGTCCCAGCACCCCCTCAGCTCATGCCTCTTCCATCTCCCCAAAATCCGACCAGGCCTAACGCCTCGGTGTTCCTCCTTGCGTACTACGTGTCCCTACACTCGAGATCCGACATCATACATCATGCATCATGCATCACAATTGGGCCACAAGGTTAATTGTCATCGGGCCTGAATCTTTCTTGCCAGTAGCTGACAAGCCATGTGCTCTCTTCTGTTTTTTAGCAGCTTCGCAAAGTTCCGCCAAATCAAGCTTCCTGACCCTGGACGATGACGAATCAGTTTCACAGTCTCGTGTGATTTCCGAAAGAAACAGAACAATTCCAAAATGACAACCATATTAAATTTCTGCGTCTCGATTCTCCCACAGCAATGAAAAAGACGCCGCGTTGCAAAAGGCCCCGGCTAAGTCTCAAGTTCGTGATCTGGCCGTTATCAAAACTCTATCCTGCCAGCAAAATAAAAAGGAAAAAAAAAAAACGAGACACCCCCAGCAAGATGATCATCTACAGATGTAAAGTATACACAAGAACGCAGGTCGGATTCTCCCCCAGTGAGCCGTTAAACATGTTCGGATTTGTCTTTCAACGGAACTCCACCGCTGGACAGACGCCCATCCTCCAGACGCCGGGTTCTCCTTCGTGCTTCAATTCGAGTTGTTGATATCTGTTCCTGGAAGATTAGCTTTCGTATATCTCAGCGCTCAATGGGGACTGTTGAAGAACTCACTTCTCACTCTTGGAGTGGAAATAAATGCCACTCACTCTCCCCTCAATCTGATTAAAACAGATGTAGTAGAACCCTTCGAAACTGGCTCCCTGGATGGATTTCAACTTGTAGTCGGGGACCAGAAAGTGCTCCTTCCATCTCATGAAGATGTAGTCTTGTTGCCACCAGTTCTCATGGTTCATGGGATAGACAAAGTTGATGTTGCGCTTCGCGTGCAAACTGAGTGGTCTCCATGCAGGAAACCGGGCCCAGTGCGTCAGGTCCGTCTTGTCGCTCGCGCCCCATGCGGGATCCCGGGTCCTGAAGCTATACTTCTGGTTTGGGCCGCCAATGATCTCGCCGGTGAAGAAGGTGGTCAATGTGGGATGATCTGGTGTCAGGCCGCATATCTGAAGGTATCCCGACATGCTGCATTGTTCAATGTCCACGGTCAAAATGGTCACTTCCACATTGTAAATCTGTCGGTCTGACTGTTGCGTGCCTTTGAACTTGGAATACGGTTGGAATGTGGCCGATGGATATTGCGGTCGAAGTTGCCGATGAGAAAAGTCCCATTCCTTCAAATCGTTGTTCGACCAATCTAGTTCTTGATCGATCGCTGGCCTGCCGGGGGTTTCCCCAGCTCGAGGGAAGCCTCCAGTTCGATTGTTCGCGGACGAAATCAGCGGAGGTGATGACGTGCCCAGGCCACTCTTGCCGCATACTGGTCCTGTCTCATCCTCTGTGGCTCTCATCTCAGACACCACTTGACGGGTATTGCCTTGCGATATGATGGGTGTGCCCGATGTCGCATCAAATCCGCCTGTGTCCCGATCGCCGTCATCCTCAATGCGCTCGCTTAGGCTCATGTCATCATCAACACCATCTATCATAGATGTCGCGCTGGTGCCGTCTGCGTGGATTTTCTCATCGAAACTTGGCGGGGTGGTATACAAAGTCTCTTCTTGCATCTGGGCCATACCGGCAGCGGTGTTGTCGCCGACGTGTCGCCGGTTGAAAACATGCCCGCTATTGAGTGTCTGCGGCGTGACTAGACGCCTCGAGGTCTCATTTCCGTCATTCTCTGGAGGTGGTGTCAATGGAGCAGGGCACGCGACATTGGGTTGAGTGATAGCTATTTCGGAGGTGTGAGGACCAAACGGCGAAGCAGGTGCATGGGTTGGCATTGAAAGGTGAGGAACCGCAAGGTTATCATATGGAGAGAGGATGATGGAGATGTCGGGACGTAGGGAGGGAAGCGCGGATGGATGGGATTGCCAGGGAAATCGCAGGATGAGAGAATGCACAGAACCCTTCGTCAGAGCACGAGATACATGGAGAGGAGAATGATGAGAGGTACGGAGAATAGTGGACGGGTGGATGGCAGCGGGAATCTAGTCGATTGGAGAGGCGAGGGCTCAAGGTCCTTCATCAGCTAAGAAGACTCCCGCCCCGACTTTCGGAGGTTCTCGCCATTTGCGGGGTTCAAGTCGTGAAGCCGCGGGCCTGGCATCACCGATCCCATCACGGGTGCCAGGCTTGCCGGGCTATGTCATGGCTGCTCTTGTTTGCAGGCCGCCCTCTGTTCTGGTTCGATGCATCTTGGCTGATCAGTGGAAATCACTGTTGGGCCTCGATGTTCTATACGCATCCAACTTTTTTCGGCGGCCATCAAATCGAAGCCGTCTTGGGCAAGCCATTCTATGAGGCCCTCTTTCAGACCAAAACTTCTTCGCCTTTGGAACCCCAAGGGATTCTGCTTCGACCGAGATTGAATGCCAAATAGCTTCGGCAGCAAGACTCAGGATTTGTTGGGTATCGACGATCGTGGGTAGCAGGTAGAGTGGCTAAATGGGTTTGATCTGCGGTTGACTCCCATTAGCATAGCTTTCCACGCCTGGATCGAGGAAGGCTTACCTTGAAATGTAGAGATATCAGAGAGAACACTAAAGCTTTGAGATCCTGCACCAGATAGTAGAACACACGCAGCCCTTCTGGATCGGCTGAGTCTGTCACGTCCCCGAGCGAGCCTATCTTTGCGGTCTGCCCAGTGTCAGTCGAGTGGCAATTCATGTAGAGAGCCTGACAAACCTCAAATTGGATGTGTTCATTTCCCAGCCTGATCTCAAGCTCTTGTCTTCCATCCTTGTTCTTTTGTGGCCACCGCGAGTCATCTTCCTTCATGATCTCACTGTCTTTGATGATGCGCTTGATCTCTGAAACGAGGAGGGCGCTGACACACACTGGACAAATGTCAGTCGCGCGACACGACACTGAAGACCCAATACGTACTCTCTTTGCGGATGAGGGAATCATTGCGGTAATTTGAATTGTTTGCATATCTCGCCGTTGCGCTTCGACCGTCCCCGATCACTCTGAAGTCAAATTCTGTCCAGCAGTCAGTGATATTCGAGTGTGGGATACTTGTGGCCTTTGTACCTAGAAATTCATGGCCAAATCGACCGGAGTGGCCAGAGCTGCACACGATCAGTATCATTCAGGAAAATGCAAGCAATGGCAGAAATCCGTACTAATACCGCACATAGAATGGCTCATTCAGGTCTTTCAAATTCGCCATTCCGGAAACAATACTGTGCTGCTAACGCGGAGCTTTGAGGGAGCGACAACAGGAGTGACTTGGGAACATTGACCTTTGCGTCGAAGATTGCCCGCCCCTCAAGTCGAGGCTGCGCATTGCCAAAACTGGCGCCAAGCTCCTCGCACCTGAACCTGGATTGGGACAAGGCTGATGCTGCCCTGTGCTCCCACGTGATATGCCGCGGACTACCTTCTGTTCCCAAAGAGGCAATCCGAACAGGGCGAATGATCAAAAATCCAAGTGCTAGAGGGAGTAAAGTACTGGGATTTCAGGGATCATCTATTCATACATCATTCCAATATGGCTCAGAGAAGTCGTCTCAGTGTGCTCTGAATGCATTTTCGAGATCTTGGTCATACTTCTTCTTGGCCTCAACCCTTTCATCGATAAACTCTCCAACCTTTTGCGACCAATACCAGTGCGTGACAAGATAAAGTTGACCATCTTTCAAATGACTTCCTGAATACATTGGCTGGATCCTCTTGTAGAAGAGCGAATTGAGGCCGGTTATACTTTCCATGGCAAGGGTATACTAAAAGGTCCCGTTGTGCCAGCCACGATTCATGACAGTCGAGTAGGGCGAGCTCCTAGCCGGATACAACTTGGCCTCCTCGTCTTCAAATATCTTCATAAATTCCACGCGGCGGACATTGTAAGCCTCGGTATCAATCACGTCGACTGCTTGCCTCGTCAGCCAGGGCGGAGTTCGCAGAAACTCAAGGGGAAGCGAGGATGCCCATTCTAGGTCAATGAGACAGCGAATATTCCAGGAGTTGTCCACTATAATATTGCTTGCATGTAGATCAGTCAGGCAAAATACGAATGGGCCAGTATTGAGGTTGTGATCGAAGAACTGAGGAGCTAAGGACCGCATAATAACTAGAGCCGACATTTGACTTAAACAATCGTACTTGTCGTTCACTGCATTTGGTTGGCAGCGGAGGTTGATGTCGTGATTCGAAAGGAGACCGTTCACATACGAGTCAGCAGAAGAGTACGTATGATGTCTTACAGTATTCACAGGGATACACTCGTTCCCAAGTTCATGCATTTGCATTGTCAGAGGTCGATTTGTAAGTTGTAAAAAGCCAAGGTCATCCACGGTAAACGATCCGATCTTGGGTAAGGGAACGCGAGAGAGCGTGAGTATAACCCACGAAAAGCCGCGAAATAGATTGGTCCGTAGCTTTTCATCGTTATACCGGTCATCTAAAGTGTTCGAGAGCATTTCCCCCTCTTCAATGTATTCCAGAAGTAGGTAGGCCCAAGCTCATTCGAGAGCCGACACTGATGAGGAATGAGGGGTGAGGGGAGAGGATAGTGCAGAATCGAAAGAAGCAGACGGCGAAAGCATTCAAATACGCGGCGGACAAGATTGAGACGTTCTACGGTCGTAAACTATCAACCTTAGTAATGAAAAACCATGTAGAACAGCGCAGACCACATACGCATTGACCAGAGGACAGAGAGAAGCCATAGAGACGCGGAATTGGTATGTTAGGACATTCCTGTCGTAGCCAGGCATATGCTCCAGCTTCACAACGGACCTTCTCGTCACCATTGCCTGGCCGAAACTCTTCCCCCACTCGATAAGACAGTGGGAACCGCATCAACACGCGGGAAGAGCCATCGACAAGAACTGGGATGCAAACATTGAAGCTGCCATTGAGCCACAGCGTCGGTTCGGCGACATGACAAAGAGTAGCTGTTCTCAACCCCAGGTGATGCGCAACGCGCTCCTCTATGAGGCTGCGGCGTTTGTACAGATGGTTATAAAATCTGAGTTGCTTCGAGATGTAACTCAACTTGTGCAGAATGTTGGTTTCCTTGTTTTTGGCCTCCTCGTAGTGATATCTTCGCGGCCAATGCGTCGAGTTGAAAGCATACTAGGTACTTTCAGTGGGAGTCGAGAAGTTTTCGAAGATGTAGGGCTGTTTGTTCGAAGTCCACAGGGGAGTATGTAAAGTACGGGTAAACAGTAGGCTGACGCTTACTCGTTTGGAATGTCATTAGCGCTGCCCTAGAGGTAGAGCCTTGGCACTTACAAGGGTGCTATGCTAGTCGCCTCTCAAAAGCAGCGCTCCCGCAATGCCCTTAAAGGACAGCATCTCTTCTCCTTCTCTCTCATCCTATATTACATAAATACCCGTTCAACGATACTAGAAACAAGATGGCCATACGAGAAAGATAATGATAAGTTACGGGAGCACGAAAACGATGAAGGCCATACAAGGGACGAGTGACGAGGTCCTGAAGTGCAGCATCGTGAAGCTCAATATGTGCCGGAATTACTTACCGGGCGGGGAGTTACCACAGTCAGCGTACCAGAGGTCAGACGGATGGACGCAGTTCTAGAACGGGACGGTTCATGAGTATATGTTCCATACTCAGATGCCTGTCCTATCGAACCCTGACCGCAAATTATTGTTTGGATCGACCTCCCCATCGTGTCGCATATACCTACCTTAGCACATTAGACGTTGTGCAAGTCCTACGCAAGGCATCCTGCTCTTCTCGCCATGCCTCCTGTACGGTGCAACTTTGCCTCGGCACTCTATGACCGTATGGTGCCTCTTGCGGTCGGTGAGGTGCAACCAGCAGGTCTGTCGGTGAACTTCATTGACGTCCATCACCCCCGGGACATTTTCGACCGGATGATAGCAAACCAGGAATTCGATGCTTCGGAATTGTCGAGTTCAGAATATATTACCCGTCATGTGGCAGGAGATAGCACCTTCATTGCACTACCAGTCTTCCCCTCTCGGGTCTTCCGGCACAGTTTCATCGTCGTGAACAAAGACAGAATCAAAGAGCCAAAGGACTTGAACGGTAAGAGGATTGGGGTACAATTGTACACCATGACTGCTGCCGTCTTCATCCGAGGCCTGCTTCAGCATGAATACGGCGTCGACATATCGTCCATTGAGTGGGTGGAAGGTAAAATGGAGGGACCAGGCTCTCACGGGAAGCCGTCCGCCTTGAAACCACTGAAGCCGATCAAAATCACCCAGAACACCAATCCCACAAAGTCTCTGTCCGACCTCCTTGAGACTGGCGAGATTGACGCGACAATTGGCGCGGATATTCCAGCGTGCCTGGGCAAAGCACCGCACATCGACCGGCTCTTCCCCGACTTCAAGAAAGTGGAAATGGACTATTACAAACGCACAGGCATATTCCCGATCATGCATCTGGTTGCGATGCGCCGAGACTACTACGAGCAAAACAAGTTTGCGGCGTCGGCCTTGTACAACGCTCTGAATGAAAGCAAGGAGTTGGCCCGAAAGCGGATGGAGAGCACGGGTGCCCTCAGATACATGCTCCCGTGGCTACCTCAGGAGCTTGATGAGATTCATGACGTGTTTGGAGAGGACTGCTGGCCATACGGCATCGAAGAGAACCGGAAGACTCTGGAGGCGCTGGTGCAGTACCTTTATGATCAGTCAATGATTGAGAAGAAGGTACCTATCGAGGAACTATTTGCGCCGGTGAGGAAGATCAATTTCAGGATAGGCTGAAAGACAGAAGCATCATCAAGGACTTTGTTCGTTGCACTCGTACGGTCTAAGTACGACTAGCCAAGGATTCTTTGGTCCGGGGAGACTTTGATATAAGATTCCCTTCCTTCGTCCTTTTTCCCCGCAATTGTTTTGCTCCCCGTCACCGACCGGGGAAGTACATCCCCACTCGAGAGAAAAATATCATCCCCGGTCTTCCTCCTGTTCCCCAGACGTTAGTTCCTCTTGTTAGTGCAGTATGTCGATTATCCCGGCCTCGCTCTCACCTCGCCCATTCCTGGGAACTCAGACCCCCTTCGATCCGGGTTGTTGGCGTTAGGGTCGTTAGAGTCATGGCGTCGCGAGGCGGAAAAGAATGGTAAATAAGATGAAGGACTTCTTTTGTCGAGCTGGCTATATGAATCTTTCTCGCTCTTTCTATCTTCATCCCTTCCCCCCCCAAAGGCCTTGGTTGACCTGCTACACCCTACGGTGCCCTCTACCCTCACTACCCTTGGCTGCTTTCTCTTTGAGTATCCTTGGTTGACATCTTGTCCTCAACGGTGCAAACCATGGCCGCCGAAACTCTGGGTCAGGAGAAAAGCCTCCGCGTCCTGGCACATGTGGAAGATAACGACGGCATGGAGATTGAGATCGAGAAGCATGGCCAAAGACCTGAGCTGAAGCTAGATGAGCATGGCCTCCCTCTTGTGCCCCAGCCTACCGATCACAAGGCTGATCCACTTGTACGTCTTGCCGTGGACTCGTTGTCGCTAGGGTAGCATGCCCACCAAAGGATATAGGCTGACATTAGAAACAGAACTGGCCCAAGTGGTACAAGTACTATGTGCTTTTCTTGCTATGTCTCCTTGCTTTCTGTGTTCAATGTGAGTATGATTGGGGGTCCTCAAGGTGATAGAGAGTGGTACTGACCCTGCCACAGTCGGAGCTGGCATGGTACCAGCAGCTTTTGGAGTGATTGCAAAAGACTTTGGAGTTACCCACCAGCAGGCCAGCTACCTGACGACGTCGTATACGCTCTTTGGTGGTATCACTCCTCTGCTCTTGACTCCGTACGTCAATATGTATGGTCGGAGGCCTGCTTATCTGGTCAGTCACTCTTCCATCTTGCTCCAAGGGAACAGTCTCTCTGACTTTCGACAGATCTTTACTTTGATCGCCATCGGTGCAAATGTCGGGTCGGGATATGCTTCGACCTATGCTCGCGAGATCGTCAGCCGCTGCTTTGTTGGAATTGGCGCCAGTGTTGCTTTGGCCATTGGCGGTGCGACTGTAAGCGAAAACGATCTTGAAGCTCTTCTCTGATCACTGGTCTAACATGCCCCCAGATTTGTGATATGTTCTTCCAAGGCGAACGTGGAAAGTATATGGGATTTTACGCTCTGGCTGTCACCAACGGAGTGAGTGGAAACAAGGAGTCTGAAAGCAAACGAACCCACTGACAGACATACAGCCCCATTTTGGTCCCATTGCTGGTGGCTATATCGCCCTAAACCTGGGGTGGCGATGGATCTTCTTCGTATGTGCTACGACTACCTGCCATCGACCATTTCTCACATGTAAAGACCGGTTTAAACTGACTATCGCGATAGATCAATGCCATCATCTTCGGCGTCGTCCTGGCCATATTCTTGGTCTCCTTTCCCGAGACGCTCTTCTCGCGCACGGACTTCAGCAAGCTTGAGAACCAAACCTACTGGCATAAGATGGCGTTCCGCGGCAAAGTTCTGGATCGCAAGTTGAGCCTGTCTGACTTCTCGGCCAATTTCAAGATGCTCCAATACGTGGCGATCACAATCCCTTGTATCTACTACATGACAACCAACACCTATGGCTCGATTGTTTTCGTTCTCACTGCGTCGTCTATCACTGAGAGGCTCTACGACTTCAACACGGCCCAAAACGGTCTCCTACTGGGCATTCCGCTCACGCTCGGCTGTCTGATCGGAGAGTCATGCACAGGTTGGATCTCTGACCAATTGATCAATCGCTACGCACGCCGCCACGACGGATACAGGAAGCCTGAGGCTCGTCTGTACCTCTGTTTTCTGGGTCTCTTCTTGCCTGCAGGACTGATCATCCATGGCCTCTGCGTCAACAACGAGACCCCGTGGATCGGTCTCGCTGTCGGCATGACGGTCGCCAGTATTGGTGTCCAGGCGGGCACGACGTTGACCTACGCCTACTGCACGGACTGCTACAAGCCCCAAGCCGCCGAAGTGTCGACCATTATCAATCTATTCCGTCAGATCTTTGCATTCACGATCGGTTTCTACGCACTGCCCTTTGGCGAGGGTGTCAGCTTTGGCGCCGCCTGGGGAACCTTTGCATCCATCAACTTCGTCACATGGTTGGGTCTGCTAGTTCTGATCTGGAAAGGCGAAAAGATCAGGAAGGCACAAGGCGAGCCCAATCTGCACAAGGATTTGTGATTGGTCTTCGGATTGCGAGCTTGGTTGTGGTTGAACAGTTGCCACAAGGAAGTCCAGCGCAGGGGACTTGGGGCAATATGATCGAATCTTCTTCGGATATAGTCCTGTCTTTCTGAACAATACAGTGAGCCCCCAGGTACAAGTATTTAGTCAATTTCATCGTCTGGCCCATAACAACTGTACTTGATTTGCTCTGTGCCCGTTTCGCATTCACACTGGACTGTCTCTTTGTGATCTACACAGTCTGGACAGCAACTGCCACTTCCGCCATGATGAATGGGCAGCCCGGCGTCTCTCCGCGGGCAGACAATGGCCTAGGGCGTAAGCGAGCACCAGGTCACAGGTCATGCCGCCGCAAGGATGCCGACACCCGGGTCAAGGAGTTCTAGGGAGGAAGGGGATTCTTCATCCGGCTTTCGGGTAGAGATTCTCACAGATACACGGGGGGTGACGGGAAATAGGAAGTAAGAATTTATCACATGGACCTCCGGTACTCCGTGTGGATTGACTGGTTTTTGTATCTCCCCGGCCCACCATCACCCAAGCGAATATCTCTTTCTCCCCGACCGGAAACCGTCTCCGGATCTTCAAACTTTCATTCCTTGCACTGTAGACTTACCAGTAATCACCCAGTGTGATATCCCCGGGAGAGGCTCAAGTCGCTCTAGTGTAGGCCTCTGTGAATGTCCTCCGGCCATCCCAGCACCACCCGGGGACACCCTCCGAGGAGGAGAAGAGACATGGAGACCTTCATGAAACCCCGTGGGTCATGGTTCTCGACCCAACAAACACGCCCCGGCCCATCGAGTCTGCTGCACGCTTCGTGTTCACTCGCTTCCCAGACCTGTTGTCTTTCGGTTTGTACTTGGACAGATGCGCGTTCCACACCCCCCTTGTTCAAGATCTGCCAAGCAGGTATATATTGACGGAGAGCTTGAAATATTTTGCCATTCTCAAAGGCCTGCAGTCATATCACAGTCCTAGTCGCTGGTACCAAGCCATCATCAACTTCAGTCGCTCTAAAGATGCCGTCAGCAATGCCTAGCAACGGTTCACTCGCTGACCCGACAGCATTCAAAGTCGCCGTTATCGGCGGTGGCATTGGAGGTTTGACAACGGCTCTGAGCATCGCGTATCAAAACCCAGCTCTGCAAAACATCACTGTGTATGAGCAGGCTCCGGCGTACAAGGAGATCGGCGCGGGCATCGGTATCGGCGTCAACGCCGCCCGGATCCTGAAGAAACTGGGTGTTTGGCAAGCAGCAAATGCCATCTCCGGGGAGCGCAATGGCGTGCACCGAAGCTGTCGACGGTACGACACCGGGGAGGAAATTGTGGCGGTTGGTGCCATGGATGAGGATGTCGACGGCGGCGTCAGACAATTGAGCGTACATCGTGCAGAGATTCTCGATGTCTTGTACCAGGAATTGAGGCGCAATTACGACGGTCGCGTCACGCTGAAGACGGACATGAAGGCAACTAAAGTCGAGGTAAGCGAACCACGGCCCATTATCTCCCTTGCGAGATACTATGCCTCCCAACACCCACTGGCCTCAGTGTTGCTAACACTTGATCGTTGGTGCAGGAGAATGGCGACCAAGTGACAATTCACTTTGCGAATGAGACAAATCCGACCGAAACGGCGAACCTGGTGATCGCCTGTGACGGCATTCACAGCACGATTCGATCTCAGTTCGCTCTCGACAAACCGCGATACAGCGGCCGCATCGCCTACCGAGGCCTGCTCCCGCTCAGCGCCATCAGCGACAAGTGGCCTTACCCCAGCTACGCGGTGAGTTGGTTGGCGCCGGACAAGCACTTCCTGGTCTTCCCAATCTCGCAGAATAAGACGCTCAATGTCGTGGGCTTTGTGACCAAGCCGGAGAGCGAGCTGGGCGACTTGAAGGAGAGCTGGACCAGCAGTGCGCCCCGCGAGGAGCTCGAGCGCGAGTATGCAGGCTGGGAACCAACGGTCGGGGCGGTAATTCGCGAGATGGAGGCCCGCCCTGGAAAGTGGCGGCTCAATGACCGCGAGCTGCTCGAGCAGTGGACATATCTCAACGGCAAGGTCGTGCTGGCAGGGGACGCGGCTCACGCGATGCTGCCACATCAAGGTGAGCGCTTCCCCTTCGAACAGTGTTGCCAACTGCCCATCTTTTCAAGCTTCATCTCGCTGACTCTTGGTAAACACACAGGCTCTGGCGCCGGCCACGCCATCGAAGACGCCTATATTCTAGGCCTCGTTGTCAGGGACTATTTCGCCAACCCCGTACCAGGCGTAGCCGCATATACCGCCCTCTATCAAGCCGTCCGGCGGCCCCGCGCTCAGAAGGCCCAGATCACCAGCCGCCAGGCGGGTGATGTGTACGAGATGCAAGGCAAAGAATTCGAAGGTATCTCGTCGTACGAAGATTGTCTCCCAATCGTGCGCGAGAAGCTCTCTGGTCGCATGAAGTGGGTTTGGGGCCACGATCTCGAGGCCGACTATCAGAAGGCCCGTGAAGAGGCTGGTTTGGCCGCGCAGATTCAGTCGAAAGCACCGCCCAAGACGAATGGAACTGTCAACGGAGCCGTCAATGGGACAACGAGCGGCAAGGTTGGCGCGACTCAACCTGGAATCAATGTCCAGGAAGTCGAGGCGTGAATCAGTCCGTGAAGGGCAGGTTTCACCTCTCGGGGGACAGCATTCTCATCAACCGCATCCCATCGCTCGGCGCATCAGAGTTTCGTTTTGTTGGGTATGAAGACATGGGTACCATTTGGGAGTTTTCGGGTTTGGCCATTGCATTCCCCTCGATTGTCTGAACAGGATGTCCACTTGGTGTGACAAGGTTCTATAGCTTTGTGAAAACAGCAAGACTTGAATGATAAATAGGAAATACTCGGCTCGTCGTGCTCAAGGCTTAATGAGATTCCGGCTATACCCATGCCATGTATAGCAATAGACAATGTGGTGCCACCAGTGCCTATATCCTTCCTTACTAATATCTGCTTAGAAGTGTGAAATGGAGGCTTGATTTATTCTGTTTATTGGAGTAAACCACAATGCAAGTTTGAAGTTTGTACCACCCACATCTATTTGAGACGCCGCAATACTGCGCATCAAAGACAGTGCTCGGTGAGGCCCAAGATCGCAGCACGATACCGCTGTAGACACACCACAGAAGACTTTTTGTTGATGCTTGCCTCGTCTTCCCATATCGATGCGACAAAGCGAGCCGGCAACGACTGCCTTGAAGAGTCATTATCTTGGGCTGCCCGCTCACCGAGATCCACTGGCTCCACATGAGCGAGGGACGATGTACTTGGTTCTTGTAGGTTCGATGGAATCCCGAGCAAATCTTCCATCTTGTTGAGATGGCTGCAACCAACGCGGAGGAGGTCGGCGCTGGAATTCAAGGCGTGGCCGAACGGGTCTGGAGTAACAAACAGATCTCCGACCCGCAGACTGCGCGGGATACGGCTGGCATCGGAATAGAGACTCGCTGATACACCCGGACCTGGTCTCAGACTTCCTGCATGTTGAGTCTCGCTTGGACCAGCAGAGGTGCCAGATGCAGTCAGTATTGGCGCCGGCGATGGAGATGCCATGAGGCTTTGAAGCATCTGCTCCAAGGAGGAGGCCAAAAGTCTAACACAAAGCACGTAGCCTTGAGCTGCGATGGACGCTTGTTTACTTCTTAAGTGTGCGCCATGTGGACTTTGAGGTGTACTAGTGTGGCCCGCTACTGCCACGCTGCTGAGCTTCAGAGCTCCCAGGAAATCGCCAAGGGCGTTCAAGACTTCACCTATCGCATCTGCAAACCGGAGTCAGCTGCAGTCACTTGAGGAATTGGGGATTGACTCTACAATGTTGGGTTCCGTTGTCGGTCTGATGTCGCATTGTCCTGAGGAATGTCGCTTCCAAGTCCTGGAAAGCTTTGGCAAGGCTCGTCTCTGTTCCTGGAGCTTCAGCTATGCGCCTCTCTCCTGCTTTTGGCGAGCTGTCCGACGGCACCAGATGCGTGCCAGGCGCCACATTGGCGGCATCCTCCGTGGTTTGCTCAGAAGCAGGCGGGACGAATGAAGTACTTCCTTCGCCGCTACCAGGCTGAGACGTGGGAGAAACAGGAAAGACAGCATCGAAATGTGCCAACTCGAGATCGAACATTGTGTCCAGCTCTCCCACCGAATCATTCAACAGCGGAGTCGTGGAATTTCCTGGCCAATTGTCCCACGAGGCAAAGTCGTCGAGACTACATTGGCTCGCCTTTTTGCTGGATCGTGCCCCATACACGCACTCGAGCCCAGCCCTTTGACAGCGCTTGCACCGAGTCAATGAAGCTTTGTCTCCGACACATCGCAGCTTCTGCTGATGGCATCTGTCGCACGACTTCCGCAGTGTTCGGCCCTCAGCGCGTCGAACAACGGCAATTTCTGCCGTGCTCGGATCGACCGCTTTTGTCGACACATAGTTTGAGTAACGATGCAATGACATTCGGTGCTCGGCAAAAGCGAAGGGGTAGGACAGGAGAAAGAAAACGCCGGAAAGGTCATTGAGGTGAAAATGCCGATACCCATGATACACTTATACCTGCCCGCAAACCGATCGACGACATCGGGAGCCAAAAGTACATCTAAAAGTACACGTAGCTTCCTGATGTACAAGCATTCAAGTGGGCTCGACAAGTCTCATGCAATGCACACTTTGATGAAGCAAGTGAATCTGGTTGGCTACTATCACACGCTGCTGCTTTGCGACGTTACTGATAAGCAGATGCGGTCTCTATAGTCGTCTGCAAAAGCGGCTTGACCCTGGCGCGTGTCTTTGAAATTCCCCGCTCCATTGCTGCAATTGCCAGTTGTCCAACAGACAATTGATATCCAGTTTGTAGTCTTGCTGTCGTTACATGCAGGGTAACTTCATCTCATGCACTACTCAAGGATACCCTGCTCGATTCTTACCCACTATAGGTGCCCAACGGACAACCCCCATTCTAAATCCCCGACGTCCGATAGCCAACACTCTTTGTTGGGGGAGATTCACCCTACTACCTGTATGACCATTTGATAGATGACCCGACCCACAATTGTGTGCCACATGGATATATATTGCGAATATTGACTTTGGTTCCCGTGCGATGTGGGCCACAGACTTTATCAAGTAACTACCGAACTGTCGAGATACCGCCCAGAGTCGGTCGGGGTACATCCGGTACATAATACTGGTGTGATATGAGGACACCAACGACGATACAAACCATCCAGGGTCTGCGGGGAAGAAGTATCTTATGGTTAGTCCATGAACAGCGCGACTGCCCCCCATAGAAGCGGTACGGGAGTGGAGAGATACATTTCAGGTGAGGTTGACAGATCAATTGCGTTATCAAATATCCGAATCCTCCCGGCTGGGGAAACTGGAATTTGTGATGATCTACATGCCACATGCATCGACTACTGGTTTTCTTCTGATACGAGATCCATGTTCAAGCATTTAGCCTGGATCTTCTGGGGTTTCCTGAGAGGTGTAAAGGCACAGGCGAGGGTGCAACCGAGGACCCTAAGGTGGACTCTCTGAAGCCCAAGGATGTAGTTGTGCAGTAGCAAGTTGTCGCAATTATGGCGCTAGTGTTCTTTAGGCATTAGTAAGGTTTGTACCAGGCACGGTCCGCTCAATCCCGTCCCGTTCCTGCTCGCTCTAGTGCAAAAGCCAAGACACTAACCGACTTGGTAAAATCCTCCCGTCACTACCGAAGACACTTTACTTCATTGCTTAATCCTAGATCCTCGTACATGCTCGTGTTCTGATAGGCATGCAGCTCTCTCTGGCGATCGACATGCGAGTTTCGGTCCAGACAACTCTGCCATGCAACATAACTTCGGACGGTATAAACACTAGCGAAGCCGAAATGTCGGCGTTAGAGGTACTGGGCGTAGAGGTCACATTCTCTCTTAATGACGGAGCGTCGACCAACTGCAGGGAGCTCAGGGAAATGAAGAGACGGAAATCCTGTGTCACAACACCTTTTGCTAGGCCACCATGACTCCCTTCGAAGCTCGGCCCAAAGAGCCCATCGCATTGATTGGCAGCGGCTGTCGCTTTCCTGGTGGTGCAAGCAACCCTTCTCGACTCTGGGAACTTCTGAAATCTCCCAGAGACTTGGTCAAGAAGGTTCCCAAGGAGAGGTTCAACATAGACGGCTACTACCACCCGGACGGAGCTCACCATGGCCGAACCAATGCGCAATACGCATACTTTCTCGAAGAAGACCCGTACGCGTTCGATCCCGGGTTCTTCAACATCTCCCCCAACGAAGTAGACACAATCGATCCCCAGCAGCGTCTACTTCTCGAGACTGTCTATGACAGCCTCACTTCGGCGGGGCTCAGGATGGAAGACCTTCGAGGCTCTCCGACCGCCGTCTACGTTGGGTTGATGCAGCGAGATTTTCTCGACAACTCGAACTATGACCTAGATTCATTGAGCACCTATGCCGCCACCGGCGCCGCGGCATCAATCCTTTCAAATAGGGTTTCATACGCGTTTGGCTGGCACGGCCCCAGTATGACTATCGACACTGCTTGCAGCTCGTCCCTTGTTGCGGTGCACCTGGCGATCCAGCAGCTTCGAACAGGAGCCAGCCAGGTGGCTGTCGCCGCCGGCTCGAATCTAATACTCGGCCCGACCCCTTTTGTCACCGCCAGCAAGCTCAACATGTTCTCCCCAACGGGCCGTTCTCGGATGTGGGATGCTGCTGCCGACGGCTACGCTCGAGGTGAAGGCATCGCTGCTGTCGTGCTCAAAACCCTATCTCAGGCAGTCGCAGATGGTGACACCATCGAATGTATCATCCGCGAAAGTGGAATCAATCAAGACGGCAAGACCCCTGGCATAACCATGCCCAGCCCTGCAGCACAAGAGGCGCTCATTCGACAGGTTTACAAAGAGGCAGGTCTTGATATAACGAAACCTGAGGACCGCTGTCAGTACTTTGAAGCCCACGGGACGGGGACTCAAGCAGGAGACCCACAAGAGGCCTGTGCCATCTCGTCTGCTTTCTTTGGCGACAGAAAACGTGCCGTGGATGAAGATCCCCTGTACGTGGGGAGTATAAAGACCATCATCGGCCACACAGAAGGGACTGCAGGCGTCGCCGGGCTAATCAAGGCATCGCAGATCATTCAGCATGGACTCCTTCCCCCGAACATGCTTTTCAATGAACTGAATCCTAGAGTGGCTCCATTCTATTCAGATCTCAGGATTGTGACAGAACGACAAGCCTGGCCAGCGCTCAAGTTCAATCAACCCCGACGTGTAAGCGTCAACTCCTTTGGGTTTGGTGGAACCAACGCTCATGTGATTGTGGAATCATATGTCCCCGTCTCAAAGGAAGCGCTGGAGCAATTGCCGACGCCATGCCTGGCGCCGATTGTCCTGTCCGCAAACTCTATTGCCTCGCTCAGAGCTACCATGGACGACTTGAAACAATGTCTAGACAGCCACCCAGAACTTCAGCTGCGAGATCTCGTCTGGACACTTCTGAAAAAGAGGTCGACCCTTCAAATTTGCCATACCATCCAAGCCAAAACCGTGCCGGCACTATGTGATGCTCTCGATCGCGAGGCAGCTCTGCTCTCGGCGAAGCAGACAAGCCCAATGGTATTGGACACCAAGAGAAAGCCTCATGTCTTGGGTATTTTTACCGGACAGGGTGCTCAATGGCCAGCTATGGGGAGAATTCTGATTACTGAAGTTGGGTATGCACGGAGTATCATTTCAGAACTTGATTACAGCCTTCAGAGCTTGCCGGATAAATATCGACCTCGCTGGAGCCTTGTGGACCAGCTTCTCCGGGTGGGCGAAGCCTCCAACGTGCACGATGCAGCCTTCTCACAACCTCTCTGTTGTGCGGTCCAGATCATGCTTGTCAAGCTTCTTGAGGCGGCAGGAGTAACATTCACAGTTGTCATCGGCCACAGCTCCGGAGAGATAGCTTGTGCATTTGCTGCTGGCTTCATATCGGCGTCCCAAGCCATCCGCATTGCACACCTTCGCGGCCTCACAGCAGAATACGCATGTGGCCCAGATGGCGTAGAAGGCTCCATGATGGCGGCGGGCACCTCTTTTGACGACGCCATCGACTTGTGCGCTCTTGAAGCCTTCGAAGGAAGAATTGCAGTCGCAGCGAGTAATGCTCCAGAAAGTGTCACGCTGTCTGGAGATAAGGATGCCATTCTTGAGGCATATGATGTTTTGATTGACGAATCACGCTTTGCTCGAGTTCTCAAAGTTGACAAGGCTTACCACTCGCACCATATGCGTCCTTGTGCAGAGCCGTACGTTGCTGCTCTGAAAGCTTGCGGATGTGAAACTCCCTCCCCGCTCGCGGCCGCCAAGTGCACCTGGCTCTCATCCGTCTACGAAGGGAAAATCATGCGGCTCGCGGATCTGAGCGCCGATTACTGGAAAGAGAACTTGCTCTCTCCGGTCCTCTTCTCGTCAGCCGTTGAGCTGGCAGTTTTGAAGCACACGCCCCTCGACATCTGCGTTGAGGTCGGTGCCCACCCTGCGTTGAAGAATCCAACCTTGCAGACCATCCAGAACTGTACCGGTTTCGACCTCCCGTATGTTGGCTGCATGGAGCGGAAGAGGGACGACGTCGAAGCCTTCTCTTCATGTCTGGGATACCTATGGTCGCACTTCGGCTCAGCGGCTATCGATATTGATCACTTGTACAGGTGCTTGTCAATTGATCTCCACAGCGTCTGTGATGTGTCCAAGCAGCTTCCGAGCTATTCCTGGGATCACTCGCGCTCGTACAGGAAGGAGTCTCGCGCCCTTCGCGCATTACTTGAGGCAGAAAAACCACATCTCCTACTCGGCAGGCGATCTTTGCACAGCACCCCTTCGTCAATACACTGGCAGAACTTCATACGCCCACGTGATATAGAATGGCTCGACGGTCACTCGCTTCAGGGCCAGACTGTGTTCCCCGGAGCAGGCTACGTCGTCATGGCCATGGAAGCCGGCGTCAAGCTTAGCGGCGATCGGAGCATTCAACTTCTAGAAGTTCTGGACCTCAAAATCGACAAGGCGGTCACCTTCGAGGATGAGAACAGCATGGTCGAACTCAACCTCGGTCTTGACGTTGACGCGTCGCAGAGTACGGATGCTTATGCGGTCTATTCCTTCACCGTCGACTCGTGCCTCGCCAAAGAAGCTGGCCCTACTCGTTCAGTCACCGGCACACTGACCATCACCTACGGCCCAGCAACGTCCGACGCTCTGCCAACTGCTTCAGACGAACCCGCTCACCTCAACGACGTTGGAATCGACAGGTTCTACAACATGCTCGACCAGGCTGGATACAACTATACCAAGCAATTCCGCGGCATCACCAACCTGAAACGGGGTGACAGCAAGGCGTACGGTGCCATCCAGTTCCACCGCTTGAAAGACGGCCACCGAAACATGGTCATCCATCCCAGCACACTCGA